GTCTGGGTCCACCGCAGCACCCTGCCCCTGTCCTGGGTTTTTCCGTAGTGCTAGCCTGTTACCGGGCTCACTACGCCCGTCCTGGGCTTCTCAATCTGGCCCCTCTTGGGGCTCTCAAACATTGCCCCTCTTGGGCCTCGCAATGGTCCCCCTTCTCTGGGACCTTCCGGGCCCCACTGGGCTCCTTAATAATACCGCCCCCTGTTTGGGGCTCTCTGTGCCCAGCCTGGGCTTCCTAATAAAATCGCCCCTCTTTTGGGACTTGCTGTGCCCACGCTGGGCTCTTTAAATGCCCCTCTCTGGGTTGGGGTCTACACACCCCGCAAGTTGCGCCCCTCACTGGCGCTAGGGCCCCCACACCACTGTGGGTCCCTTTGAGGATAATGCGCCCTCTTGGCGCTGGGGCCCCCCACACCTCTGGGGTCCCTATGAGGCCTCCTCCAACCCCTATAGCCTCACCCAAACCACCGGTATCAAAGCCTGAACATAAACTCGAGCCTTCTGGCTATAACTCAAACATAAGGCACTGGGCCATAACAACATAAGCCTCCTGGCTGTAACCCAATATCATTGCTCCAGCCTTTGAAGCTCTCGCGAGCTATACTTGCTGTTAAGCTTTTTCTCCCATCTTAACTGCAGGAGCTCCTGCCCCTCTGGCTGCTGGCAGGGAACTGCTAGCATGGCCTCAGCCCTGGGCTTTATGAGGGCCAGGCCCTGCCCCCTTCTGGCCAGCTGATTCTTATTAGTTGCCCCGGCAACTCCCAGCTGTGCTCATTATGTTCTGCCAGGGCTCTCTCCCTGGCAGTTTCTCCTCTCTAGGAGCAGCGAGGTGCGCCACGACACTTGCCCAGTTTGTTACCTTCAGAACTGGAAGCAGTATAGCCATGATTGCATGTTGTTGTGGGCAAACTGATATTAGCATGCAGGCAGATTAATTAGTAGTGCTTATTAACCAATCCACAATACAAAGCAATTGAAGCTGCATGTTGCTTCTTGATCAGGAGGTTATCTTACATGAGCAGAACAGTGTGTTTGTGAAAGCCACTACCTGGTGTAGTAGGTTGTGTAGACATGTCCTGAATGCACACCATATTTGTAATTACTATAAACTTGCAAAGTTTTTACAATAATAATACTACTGCACTCTTCATAGGAAAGTAGGGTTGGAAGGGACCTCCATGAGTCCAACCCCTGCTTGAGGCAGGCTCATCCATATCCAAACCATCCAATACAAACTCATTGTCTAACCTATTAGCAAAACTACACAATCAACCTTGACACAACTACAAGACATGATACCATTTTTTCATTTTCCTTTGTGGAAATATTAGTGTGTATTTTGCTTTGCAACTGTGCTATTCTGATCAGAGAGATGTTTTCAGCCTAGGTCATCACCAGAGGCTGGTCCTGTTCTATATTGTGGAGATCCATACCTGTTCTGTTCTGGAGATGGGATGCCTTACATGACTGGAGGGTGATGCAATGCTGCCTGTGGAAGCAGGTAGTTCACTGAGTCTTTGACTGGGCAACCTTAATGTGCTTCCATTATTTTGGACTCAGACTGTGAGACTCAGTTAAATGAAAAGAGAGTGAGAAGTATTTTCTTTTGGGTTTCTCTGTGGCACAAAGCTTTCCCCTCCGCCCCTTGTGGGGTTACACTCTTTATTGCTTTTACCACATTAGTATAATAAAGGTTTAAAGATCAACAGTTGTTTTTTTAAACAAAAACAAAAACCATACGTTGAGAGAAGTTCTGTGCCCTGAATACCCTTTGAAAGGATAATAATGTCAGTGAGATGGGGGAACCTGAGTGTGAAGTGGCCTTCCCATATTCATGGATTTGGTGAATATTCAGCAATTAATGTTGAATATTAGTTTTATTTAAATTATGTCAAGGAGACGTGTGCCACGCATTATTATAGCAATTACGAACTGGGTGGTTGTTGAACAGGTTTTTTTTGGAGGTACATTTCTTGTAAATGTAGTTAAGAATAATTTGTTTGGAAGAAATGAGGTTTGGATTCAGCCATGACTCAGAAATAAAATGTGAGTACATAGGGAGATAAAGACCTCTATCATTTAAACCAAGTTACTAAATAAAAAGTATATTCCTCAGTCTGCTGATTACTTTTACTTTTAAATTCTTTACTTTTAAATTCATCTGGGATAATGCAACAGTATAGCATAAGTTGTATGTCATTATCTAGTTCTTTATTCACATCAGCATGGATAGATTACATTAAATGAACTCCATTTACCAAAGCAAAGTAGTAACAGAATAATCCTCCCCAATACCCAATAACACAGACTTCACTCCCAGTGGAACAAATTCAGACATATAGCACTAAGGTTAATGATATTTTAGAATTAGCTGGCAGAATGGTCTATTAAAATAATATGTTGCACTAAAAACTTTAAATGCTAAATGTCCATTAAAGTAATCAAATATTAATATGCCTCAGTGCTGCTCAAGGTGAAAGACAAAAATGAATGAAGAAGCATATCAAGAATAAGGCAAATTGACATCATTTATGTTATATGACATTGAATATATTGGCCAACAGTACAATACAGGAAACTAGACAAAGACAGTTATCTGTTATGATATTTTATCTACTTTTCTGGAATTTTCTCAACTCTTAGCTATTCAGCAACATTCAAAATATTATATTTTTGTTTAATATGTACATAGACAGTTCCATGTTAACACTAACTTCAGAAAAGAGAGAGATTTTTTTTTCCTTCTTCACACACTCTAAGTCATAGTACATATTCACTAAAAGGGATGAAGATGACTTCAGTAGAGTATTTAGTTAATTCTTGTACTTCATTTTTTTAGTGGTTTGTCCATGATTTTTTTCCAAATATTTCATTAAGTGGGACTTCCACAGTCTAATACCTACCTGGCAAGAAGCATCTCTTTTTCCCTTTTCAATTTAATCTCATTGTGCAGAGTTAGCATCTGAAATGTAGTAAGAGGAGAACATCATTGAGCATTGAAACAGTAGAGACTCGGAGGAAAGTGTATCACAAAACCCATAGAATATGCAGTTTCTGTAGTGCCTGCAAGTTTTAAAGTCTCCTATCCAAGCTCAGATATAGCCAAGCACTGCTTGGCATATTTCTGGAGATCGTCACACAAATCGGTATAGGTACAGGTCCTATGTAAGCTTAAAGAAATGCCACTTTCAAAGGACAAGTGCATTTATTGTTAACAATTGTTGAGTACACAGTGATTGACAATTTATGTCATGTAGTATATAAACTGTTACTGTCTTTGGCTTGTCACAATAATAAAAACAATGTGTAGTGTTTGAATGACCCAGATTATTAAAAATAGTTCATTTGGACAGCTCTGATTTTGTTGTTATAGTTTCACAATCTCATCCATTCTTGATGTGACATCCTTAGGTTTCTGACAGGTGATACACTGAATATGTGAATAACTGGTTAATCATGCCTTAAGCTCATTCACATGTTCATTCAATTAATGGTGTGATAAAACAGGGAATAAGCCACAAAGTTATTACACAAAATAGGTTTACTAACATTGTGGCTGGTTCCCATCACTTCTTAAAGTGAATGTGTGGCCAGTGCTCTCAGTTTCAGGAGCACATCACAATCTTTCAAGACTCCAGTGCACTCCACAAGGTAGGGAGCACTTGTCAGCTGACCAAGGCTTCTAGTCATGGGAGTGCATTAGAGCTAAGCTTGCTACTTCCCAGTGCAATGGGCAGCTTGGGATCATGATCCCAGGGTTCCCCTGTACTGGCATCACAGCACAATTGTGATCTGGTCCCAAATCCCACAATTGTGCCTCCTGCCATGCGTGTGTAGAATAGCCCGCCATGCATGTATACTTTGTCCTGTTCATCTTACATCTGCTGCAGATACACAACAGTATTTTTTCAAATGGAATAGGAAGCCATGTAATGTAAAGTAATAATCCCTACTTTTTTGCAGTAAAGAGCATCAGCTCTCTGAATATCTCCAAATGGTAGCAAGGCTCTCCTTTGACCAGGGTCAACAAAGAACTACTGGACCATGGAGATGTGATGTTTACCTGGTCTTCTAGAGTAAGCAGGAAGGAATGATCATGCCACCCTTCTTTTTCATATCTCAGTAATGTCATGGATGTCTTCTGGTCCTTCAAACACTGCAAAAGCACAGTGATGGACTGACTTGGTTTAAAATTATGGGGACAATTGTTATAACCCCTTTGTGACAGAGGTCATAAATTGTCCAATAAACCAATTGACACTAACTGGTAGGTTAAACATGAGAGTGCTATGACCTGTTGGGAAGCAGGCTGAAAGACAGCATTACTGAACTGTGCCCTAAAACCAGTTTGCCTGAAGATTTTGAACATGGACCTATGTTTTTCCACATTTGAAGTAGGGTTATCTGTGGATAAGCCTTGCTTGTGTTCTTGCTGTGTTAAACTTCTTTGTTCAAGGGTAAGTAGGCATTATGTACAGACAGTGACTTAACTAAATAATATCTGCATCCACTTCTCAAACAGAGAGGGATTAACCAAATACTGGCATCTTCCTGACCTCTCAAAAGCTGGAGAAATAGAAATGGGGGAGAGGGGGGATGAATTATTGAATTATTAAATGACTTCCAACATTCTTCTGCTGACAGCATTTTTCATAAAGGATTATGTATTCAAAAACTTGTTTAACCTCTAAAAGTTAAGCATAACCATAACTAACAAGGTAACTTTTTGCAAGGGCTGAAGGGCTGACTAAATAAATTGCTAAAACATTAATATATACAATATTTTCCTTATTCCTCTCTTTCTGTGCCTGGTCTAATTAAGGATAGATCCATAAAACAGATGTGTGGTTGGATTTTAGCACCCGGACAAAATCTTATTAACTTCACTGGGACGCTGCATGGGGTCTATCATGCTTCCATGACCAGTAAATTGTACAAGGCCTACATTTTGACTTTGCAATGGGGGTGCTCACAATACATAAATTTAAGCATATGTGCATGTTGCTCCAGGCCCAAGACTATAAGCTTTTTGGGGCAGAGGCCACTTTCCAAAGTTTTGTAATAAAAGTAACATGCATTTAAAATAATTAAACTTGACCATTTTGAACAATTGTGGATGGTCCTGCTTTTAGCAAGGGATTGGACTAGATGACTGGATGATCTCCTAAGGGTTCTGTTCAGCCATATTTTGCTATAACTGTTATCTGTATGTTTACTTTCTTATGCCTTGCTCTGACTGAAACCAGAGAGCCCTGCAGAGGCTTCAGGTTTGGATCTGTGTTAGTAGACTCTGAGGCTAGATTGGGGCCTTACAGTTTAATGTTTAGCTTTTTTGAACTTCAATTTTCCCCATCAGAAAAGTATGGATAAAATATTCATTTTTGCATATCCAGGTCTTTGAGATTTTTTAATGGAAGGAATTATGGAAGTGCAAAGGAATCTCATTAACAATAATTGTGACTTTAATCTACTTATTTGTATTATGAAAATGATGGGTAAAATTGTATGTAAAATTACACAAGAGGTGTTATTTATAAAAAGGGAAAAAACAGAAGGGATACTGTCCCAAGGGCACAGGACCAGGAGAGGGGGAAGCCATGTTCATAGGCAAACCCCAGACCAAAGTAAAAAGAAAAGAAAACAGCAACGTACCTGTTGTAGGGGCCGGGAGGAGTGAGGAAATGCGCAGTGGGAAACCACCCGCACAGTTCGTCAGCTGCGCTCATATCCAGCTGGAACTGGGTGACGTCACAAGGAGACACCACCCAGCAGAGATAAAGAGTGGCCCTGAAGGCACTGGGAGGACACTGAGGACTGGAGGACTGGCGGGGAACCATCAGGCAGAAGGCATCCAGCTGCTGCAGCTGGCAGCAGCAGTGACAGCAGCGGCAGTGAAAGTGGAGGTAGCAGAAGCTGCAAAGATCCCCGAGCCGGAGGAGACTGGCGGGTATTGAAGAGGCTGGCAGGGAGGCTGGCAACGGCAACGGTAGTGGCAGCGGCAGCTCTAATCAGAGGCAACGGGGGCTGCAGCTCCCGGTCAGAGGTGGAGCTCAGAGGAGGAGAGAGAGACCCCGGCTGGGGTGAAAGCACGGGTCCCGACCCAAAGGGTGCCCTAGCCTAGGGACGTTGGGGGCTAAGGGTGTATGGAGCTCTCACTGAGGGTGCTCCATTTTCTTCGGCATTCTCTCTCCCTTTTTTGTTCTTTTCTGTAGTACCTCTCTGGTAGTCACAGTGTTGGTTTTGTTCATTTTTGTTTCACGTCGGGTGTTTTAGGGCAAAGAGGTTTAGGGTCAAGACATTGATAGTGTTCCCCTTTAGGGCTCATCTATTTCGGTCCCCTTTGTGAGGGTAGATTAGCGGAGTCCTTAGCACCAGGCGAGGGTGGCTGGGACCCTGTCAAAGGAGTAGAGAGGAGTCACGCAAGAATGTGCCGGGGGCTACCGCCAACAGATGCAGAAGGCTAAGGGCATTGGAAAAGACAAGCCCAAAAGCTGAAGGTCTCCAGACCCTTTTACTGGGGTTTGGCCAGGGCCCTGGGTGGTCGTTGTTGAGAGGCAATGCGGAGATCAGAAAATACACCAGTAGGGGATAGCCACAAAAGGACTCGGAGGCCCGTCTCAAAGGGTGGCACATGGTCAGGGTGTAGGGGAGGTTGGAGCCCCGTGAACGTCCACCGAGATGCGTGATGGCTCTGGAGGCACCCTCAAAGGGGACCCCCTCCACTGAAGAACTATTCAAACTCGTGGCAGGAGAGTTCGGGGGTCACCCTGAAGACAGCCGAGGTGCCCTCTGGTGTCTGCACGTAGGTCCCTGGCAAGCTAGATCACCTGTTCGGGCGAAGGCAGTGTGGAAACGTACAATAGACAGGAGGTGGGCATAGATACAAAGACATCAAGAACATACTTATGAGGATGTAATCTTTAATTGAGACAATGGAGGAAATATCAGTTGAATAGTGTGTATGGTTTAAACATTCTGGGGTGTAATTACTAGTGCTGTGCAAAGCTTTAGTCCCTGATTCAATTCGGCAGAGATTCAGTCCGATTCAGTGGCCAAATCTCCGAATTCAAATTGAATCAGAGGACCTTTTAATCTCTCCGAATCGAATTGGAACCCTCTGAATCAATTCATAGAGCTTCGGAAGGATTTGGAGATTCAGTCATAGAGACAGCTTTAAATGTTTTTTCTACATACCTCTAGGTAGCAGGGGGTTCATGAGTGCTGTGATGCTGGGGCACATGGAGTGTCCCATAGGAGCATAGGGGGCTCCCCAGCGTGCTCGACAGCAGATCTGGAAGTAGACCAGAAACGCTTCCGGTCCGCTTTCAGGTCTGCCGGGTAGTGTGTGGCGGGGACCACCCCATGCCCTTCAAGCCCAGCGACTGGTGCCTCCTGGGTCTGGGGGACACCCGGGGTCCCCTGCGGCCAATTATCAAGCTGGGGAGGCGCGGGGAGGGGGGGCAGTGTGCTTCCCGGCAGACCTGGAAGTACTTCCCGTCCACTTCTGGGTTTGCTGCCAAGCACATGGAGTGGGATACTCTATGTGCCAGCATTCATGAGCTTTGCAAGGTATGTAGAAAAAACTTTTAAAGCTGTGCCTATGTCCAAATTGCTGATTCTCTGAATCAGCATTGAATCTTCAGATTCGGATTCAGCCGAACCTGAATCGGGGACAGTGATCCAAATCAACTAATTGAATCACTGTCCCTGATTTGGGCCGAATCTGAATTGAATAGGGCCCACTTCACACACCCCTATTAATTATGTGAAAATGCAATTGTATGTATTAATTTTTTCTTGCTTTTAGAAGGAGACAATACTCCAATGTTAACAGTTATAAACAATTGAATTGCACCAAATAATAATGCTGAAAACTTAATCAAGAGCAATAAATGAATAGCAGAACTGCAGGAGTATACCGCATGCTGCTAAAATGTGAATTTACACAATACATTGCCATTGGGCTTGCCTGGCATTATGGGAACATAGCAGATGTCAATTTACCTGTATAATCACAGGATAATTTAGTACAATTAGCACGTGAAGTATTTCGATATCTCTCTATAGCAAACTCATAATTGTAAAGTAAATGTGTACTTACCAAGATGTTGCTTTGCCCCGAGTGGTCATGTATGAATGCTCTCTACCCTGTCACTATGCATCTGCTCAAGAGTGCAGAGTTGGTGAGCTTTAATTCAATATGTTGATAAGTGTAATGTAATGTACAGTGGAAGGCGAAGTTAAATACTTCGTTGCCTTACTGCCTTCAAAATTAACAGCATCAACTCAGGAAAGGGGCCTGAGCATTGGTGTGGGCTGCTCATTGAAGTCTTCTTCTCAGTAGGTACACATAGTCAAAAAGCACAGAAAATACATAGGAGAATAACAAATGGAAGCGTCAGAAGGATGGCGTATATTAATTGTGTATAAATACCATATTTCATGCTGTATGTGCCCCATATTTCTGATAAAAAAGTTAGGATTTTCATAGATCTGATGTATAAATAGACCCACATTTTATAATGATCCATTTGTAAAAAATTCCATGTACATTAAGTCTTCTCTTGTAGCAGGAAGAATTCAGGATGAACAATTGTCGCCATGATTGTTTCTGATGATGGTTATGCTAACTACCACAAGCTATGGGTTACATAATGAAAAATTTCATGAACACAATTTAAAATCCCTGTCATTTTCATCCTCAGAAGTGTGAGCCCCGAACAGTTCTATCCAGTCATCCAAATGCTTAATTTGATCATCAGAAGTTTCAATTTCAGTTTATATCAGAAGTTTCATGTAATTAGTGTGACTGTCCCTCAGGCCTGTTTCAACCAACTTTGAAACAATATTTTTTTAGTTTAAAGTATTTATATGGTGTAGAAGTTGAGGTGGAAATTTAAGGATAAATATTTGGCTTCAAACTTGGACTTGTATATCATGAAATACAGTATATAAGAAATATATAACATTATTGTATAAATGCAAAGTTGGCCTCATCTGGATTATGACTGTACATTAGTGGTCACCCGCACATGCATTATAGAGTGGCATTTGCAGTGAGTGATGAAAATATTTAAGGTTTTGGAGGTGCTCTTGTGAAGAGAGTTCAAGAAAGACTGGGATTGTTTGTTTTATGTAAGAGATTAATAAGAGGTATGTGACATAAACCTGAGGCCAAGAATATATATAAGGGCTGGTACAGTGTGATAGGTTGCATAAACCCTAGGCTTTAAAGGCCATGAATGTGTCAATGCCTGGAAGAGCTGTTTCTCCAGCTGTAGTTTAGCAACTGAGTGATAGCAACAGTGATAACAGCCTGCAGTCCAAGCGGGGTGAGGTTGCTGTCAGAGAGGCTGTGGAAGCCTCAAAAAAGCTCATTTAAAATATTCTGGCAAAAGGATATCCATGGAATAAACCAGGAAATTGCAGAAGGTGGGTAGATGAGCCATAACAAACAGCTACAAGGTATGACACATAGGACAGAAGCTCAGGAGACTGATGTCTTGAGGGCCTAAGTGGCCTCGAATAGCCATTGAGGGAGAGGTTGAGGGACTAAATTCCCCTATACATAGAAAAGAGAGCAGGGCCTTCTGTTCCTTCTCTTTCATTTCACAATAAGGGGACGGTTAATTATGCTGAGCTGTGACAAATTCAAGGTGATGGTTTTTGGCAGAGACTAGAGCTTCTTGTCATGGGATTTTCTTGAAGCAAAGAAATTAACAAGATTTAGGGGGAATGTAAACTCGTATAGATAATAAGAGTGTCCAAGGTTCTAACAAACTAAAAGAGCCTTCTGGAAGTGATATGGTAAATATGCATCAGGGTGTAAGCCAAGCTCTAAGCCAAACTGCTAGGAGGAGTTCTCTTGGGGCATGCCTGGTAGAGGATTATTCTAGATTGGTTGAGTGGCCTAGGGTGGAACAGCAAGGAAGCTGCTGGAGCTTGAAGGCCTAAATTGGCTTCCTGCTGTTTGTGTTCCTCTTCTTCTGGAATAGCTGGTCCTGGT